TGATATGGGAAAATGCCTGATCTTTAAGTTCAAATCTGCTCTATGGCCTAAAGGCAGCCGTGGCGATGTGGTATAGTGGTTAGCGTGTCGAGGTTTCATGCTGACTTGTCATGGTTGGAGTCCCCCTGGAGGTATTGGTAAGACCTATGCGAGGTGGAAACTGCAGTCCATTTCAGCCTGGATGAGAGCACATTTGGGAAGAGCAAGGCTATTTGTAATTCAATAGAAGCGTCAGCTCTATTCATATCATTGTGGGAAAATTTAACTACCAGTCCTTCATCATATTAAACGAAATAGGCATAGGCTTTTTCGCCACCTTTAAACACAAGAGACAATATTTTATATATAGATTTTAATGGTAAGTAGCGAGTAAAGAATAGAATATCAAGCGCAAGCCAACTATCAAGGCTAAAAATGCCAACTATAAAAGGCATCCCCCAGATAATAAGAAAAAAGGACCCCATATTTTTGCAAAGCTATTAGGATATCTAAAGTAGAACCCAGCAAAAGAATATATCTTATATATTCCAAGATGTGATAATTAAGCTACATTCGAGTTAATCAAAACAATGTAGCCGTCGGGCCTATTAAAGCCAATACTCTCAGATATAAATAAAAAACTGTTAAATCTACACAACAGTATATGGGGAGTTTACAGACGCTGGTCAGCCCAAGTAAAGGGTTACGCTATCCAATTCAAAGAATATAAATTTTTTTAGCTCTCCTGGTCTTGATGTCCTTAGGAGTAGAAACATTCATCTATAAGACTATTCAGGACCTAGTATTACAATTTTGGTCTCACACACGATTGATTCAAATAGTAAAAAGCAGGCTACGAAATCCTAATATTACTGAAGGATATGTAATGCATATCAACAGAAAAGGAACAAAACCGCTTTCAGATTGTTCTGAAATCCCCAAATTAAGGGTTTAAAAATACAGCAAAATATGAAGCTTATCCACTGACTTGCAGCTCCAAAGGACGGCCAAAGGTGTCAAGCAGCTGCATAAGCATTGTCTGAGAGTATGTATTTGGTGGTATTTCTAGACAGTCGCAATGCAGGAACCCATCAATCATGATGCCAAAGGTGATAATCTCAGCTGAACCGAGCTTGAAATAAAAAAAAGAAGGATATAGAATAGGAGGAGAGTTCATTCAACTATGGAATGATTTAGTAAGATAAAATAGGAACAGGTTCGAGCCATTCATCAATTACGATTAAGGATAAAGGCTTCCGATGGTTAGTCGATTGGACCCGTATGTCAATAGAATGGAGAATATTCATTTAGCTGTATATATGGAATAGTAAAAGGTTAGTTGAAAATTAGAAACGGTTTCAAAGTATTGCCACTGTCAGACTAGGTATGCATAACCTGTTCCAAATTGGGAAACAAATATAAATTTATTCACAGTCCATTGCGTTACAA